GCTACTTCAGAGGGATCTTTTGCAGTAGTTGCAAATTATAAGGGCAAATTCCATTTTCGTTGGAAGGAGATTTTTCATATAAGGTCCCAGGAAAAAGGATACTAATAAGAGACCAAGCAGTATGTGTGTCCAAGCATGTTTCTTGGTTAGACCGTGCAAAAAAGCAGGGCTTAAATTGTTAGCGCCCACAGGCTTCGAACCGGGCAAATTCCATTAAACTAAATTTTGTATTTGATGAGGAGGGCGAATTGCTTAGTGTGTGGAATTCCTGGGAATGTTCATCATTTGCTCATGACGTGTGTTCGGACGGAACCCATCAGGGTGCGGTTATTTGCACAGGTCGGTTTTGCTACATTTAATGTTGGGTGGTTTCAATCCGTTTTGTCTGCGCCAACAAGTAGTTCCGCGAAGATTTTGTATAAGTCTTGTATTTTGATTTATCTGTTTGGATTCTATAAAGGGGTTTTGGATGTATTGTTTTTTTAATAGGGCTGATATGTTCAGTAATGACTAAAGCTAGCCTAAATAAACATAGAGTTAATAAAACAATCTCACATCCAATTGTTATTGTTACACGACAGTTATGTATGAGCCGTGGTGAGTAACAGTAGAGCTTCTTGTGAAAGAGATCATCATAGAAAATACTGCCACCTTACAAATTTCTATCGCCAAGCGGTAATGAGAGCATTACTGTGTTACGATTTTGAAGGGTAGGGGTTCTGGTTACATTACAGGCACATGAAACTTGCCAACTTATGTCTCAGGGCACAGTGGTAGTGCCCCTCAAATATTTGCATCCCCCGTCAGGAGAGACAAAAACCATATTTTTATTGATTATTGGTTATTTGAATTTATTATTAGTAGATTATATAATTTCTAGCTTTAGGTATACATCTAAGTTTTCGTTTAATGGATATTGGTTGAACATTCAGTAATATTTTCTAGAATTTTTTAAGTTTTTTCAAGTTGCGGCCTTATTTATGAATACTTAACGGTAATAACACGACTTACGTTAACAAACTTTATGGCATGATTCGAATTATTCCCTCAACTGCGACTGTTCTATGGTTATAACAATATTATGATAGTAACCACATTGACAAAAGACAAAATCGTTAAAGGAATAAAACGTCAAGTTTTCTGTTGCAAACTATTTATTAACCAATAGCACCACGGTATAGTCGCGGGTATGACCAATCGTGTCCAGTGGAACAAACGGAATGCTCAATTATACCTTTATGTACACTGTGGAATAAGGCAATAGTCGCTTTTAGTCCTACTTTTTTAATATGCCCGATAACTAAAATTATGCCTTTAATAACAGTGAATTATGCCCTTAGTAATAAGAAAAACGACGCTAGGAGACTGTTAGAGAGATGTCCTATTGATATGTTATGTAATCGGACACGCTGAAGCCAATAGTACAATAAAATTTTAATTAAAAATTAGGAGTGGTACCATTCAAATTTGAAGATAATATTCTATCTCTAAGGGTGCACTCATTTGCCACTCTTAGAAGTCTAAGGGTGCCCTCATTTGCCACCCTTAGAGGTCTAAGGGCGGCAAATGTAGGGATGAATCGGGTTTACTGGATTTCACTTTTTGGCGGTAAGGCCAGAAAGCTTTACGGTTCCCGTACAATTTAATCTCTATTCGTACAATGTACACATTGTTCTATTCATTCCGTTTATTGTATATATTTCAAGCCTTTTATGAACGCTTAAATACCGCGTTTTGTTTCAATTTTTGTTTACTGTCCACCCGAGCTTTTTTTACAGTATATTTTCTGAAATCATTATCAAGTGAGACTGTCGCTGTAAAATAACTCTTAAAAACATAAAGCAACAAAGCGCTTTTGGTTGGATGAAATAGGACAAAAGATATAAAAAAACATTTCGTTTTCAAGTACTATATAAAATATGAAATACCATAATGGGGGCTCAGTAGTAAATTGTCAAAAATATAAAAATATCGACGCTTTTGCAAAAAAATATGGAATTTGGGGTTGGTATTTTTCATTCTAATATTAATTGAGGTGCCTTCGATCATTACTGCCATCCGCCTGCTACCCGTAAACTAGCTAATCCCTTACGCCAGGTCTATTGTTCACCATTTCTACCCCCGTGTCTTTATTATAGACGACGAATTTCGTTTCGAAAATATGACCTTTCGTTTTATACCCTACGCCTAGTCTATCTTGGTATTATTTAATTAAAATACATCTAGTTTTAAAAATTATTGCGAAAAAACGATGGATATAAGTTGAATCAATCTAATTTAACATTTATTTTATAAAAAATATTTTGAGACACCACAAAATAACTTAAAAATCATATGTAACGCGAGATATCACTAAGCGATGGTAATTCACGGCTATTACTATTATATTCATATAAATGTTATCAAGTTACGCCAATTTTTATATGAACAATCAAAATATTTTCAAATATTTTACGTTGTACGGATATCTCATTTCTTATGACTGCGTTATAACATGAAATGATTTTTTCTGCCGCCAAATTGTAATGTGAGCATTACTGCGTTTCGGTTTTGGAGGATAAGGGTGCTGGTGAAATTACAGGCATATGACTCTTGTCAACTTATGTCACAGAGCGATGGGCGCAGTGGCAGTACCCTTCGATCTTTGCGATTTAAAGTTCTGAGTGGCACTGCAACACCGGGTGTATTGTGTGTGTGGCGAATGCCGATTACGCGAATGACGATAGTGCGAAGATGGTTGGGCGAAAGTTTGAATTCGCCATAGTTTATTTGCGCGAATGACGATAACACGAAGACAGATTTAACTCCCATGGCTGCAAGTTGTTGCAATTCTTTGCAATGCAAAGCTTTCATAATAAAGTACATGTTTATTATTGTAAAAGGTGATTAGGGTGTACTTGCAAGAATTAACTTGCCTGCAAGCTTTCGCAAATCTGTCTTCGTGCTATCGTCACTCACGCAAATGAATTATCGCGCGTTCAAGCTTTCGTGCAACTGACCATTTGCGCAAATGAACTATCGCGCATTTACGCTTTCGCGTAACGGTTTTCGCACTACCGTCATTCACACTCGCGTAGTACACCCCACTGCAACTGCTATAGACAGACGTGCCGCTTACTACCAGGCGCACGACTCGTTCGTACCGTCACTTGGTGTCAATAAAAAAAATCTGATAAATGTAGGAGCTTAAAACATTCCCAAAAATTAAAATAGACTTAGAACCTGAAATATGTCATTTACATCCGAACATTTTTTTTATTGTTTTTGCAGTTACTACTAAACGTGAGGTGCTATATCTTTTAAACTATAAAAGATATCGAATTTTCAAATATTACAGATGTCGATAGAGCTCAAAATTCTGAATCCAACTATATAAAAATGACTTTTCAAATTTCCACCGTCAATATTTTGTTTCCGAAAATAAAGACTCACAAACAATTTTGCTTTACCTAATTCGAGTACAGAAAGTTTTAAGAGTATTGTGAACTTACCACGTTACGTTCATTTTTGTAAATAGTTTGACCTTAAGTAACTTAAGTTTTTGATAAGAGTCGGATAAAAATTGTTGCAATAATGAAACATCAATTGTACAATCCTTGGAGGAAAATTGTGCCGCCGAATTTCTGAATTATATCCGCAACAGCATTGTTTCCGAAGTTTCCGTAATGCCGGAAGGATTGCAAACCTCTTCGGTGATGTCGCGGATTTGAAAATTATTTAGTAGTTATTGCCAGCGCCTAGGGTCAAATAATGGTGTTTATGAAAGGTAATTGGTCGGTAAAGGATAATCACACACACAAGGGTCAGTGGAGAGGAAATCAAGTATTGTCGAGAGTCCATGGTTAGCCGTTTGGATTCGACACTCAAGGTAGTCTAGACTGTGGCGATGCCAATCTTGTCAATTTTAGCGCTACGACAACGCAAGCGTGTCTAGTCTCCACAAAACGGAGTCCCTTTGAGTTGACTCCGACTTTTCGTGATATATTCATATGGATAGCCGATGTCTCCAGCTACTTAGAATGGACGTAGCGTCCAATTATTATTAATTATTATACATTGAGTCCGTAGCAAAAAATACAGCAAGGAAGCTTGGCATCCTTTCCAGGTTGAAGCGTTACATTACACTGGGACAGTTCCTTCAGCTAGACCAAGCACAAGTCCGATCGTGCATGGAGTACTGTTGCCACCTTTGGGATGACTTTGCTACATACCAACTGGCTACCTTGGATTCAATTACCAACCGTGCTGCTGCTGAGCATTGAACACCGCCGTAAAGTTGCCTGCTTATCGATATTTTATAGGATATATCACGGAGAGTGTGCTATGGAATAACACGATTTAATTTCGCCTTCCCCTTTTCATTCTCCCCACTCTCTCATATTAATATAATTATAACAAATAAATTAATATCATGGAAGTAAAACGTCCTGACACTCAACAAACTTAAAAATTACAATAAAAGGTGATTTGTGAAAATTCGTAAATCCCACCAATTATGCATATTTAAAATGCAAATTTGTAACATCATATCATGTTCCCCTTTCAAATGAAGTTTCACAACAAGCTTTGACCAAAGAAAAAATCAAACGGAATTTCCACCGCCATGTTTCCCTGCCGCAGGAAAAGTCAACAACATATTTTTTCATTCCAGTCTCGGTACTGTCGACGACAAACTCGTTACAATGAACTATTACAGTAATGTGGCACATTATTAACCCCTCCACAGAGAGGCCCCTTAACCCTAGGTGCCACCATCTTTTTACGTCATAATAAAAATCTGTTCCAATTTGTATCTTAAAAATTTTTTTTTCGTTGACTTGGATGAAATTGCTGCAAGTAGTATATTTTTCAAGAGAACCATCTTCTTTTCACCCGAATCATTTTTGCCTTTATGTTTAAGACGTGAAGGACTTAAGAGGTTCCATTAAAAATTGTTTGAATGAAACAAAAAACATACAGCAGAATACGACAGTAATTGAAAATTTTATGGACAAACTTACCTGTAGCCATTTGACTCGAGTGATGTTCTCCTCTGTGACGGTAAGTGCTTTTCTTTCCCCCAGCTTGTACGTATCATCATAATACATGTATTCTGTGAACGTCAGCCCACTAGTTGTATACTGCTGAGTGAAATATATCGATATAGACCCGTTCGTTATGTCGTGTTCGATAATCCAGCGACATTTTATTGGTACGGGAAAGGGGTTTGGGAAGTTTGGCGTTTGGATTACCCCTACTGGCCCTTTTAGGTGGCCTCCACAAGTTTGGGGTCCCTGATGTTCTCGGTCTTCTTGAGAGTAGACTACTACCAGGATAGGCATGAACAGGGTGATGCTGAGCAGGCGCTGCATGGTAAGCCTGAAACAAAAGACAAACGGTTTTTAATCAGTCTTGCTAAGAAATAACCCCTAGATAAGTAAACTAGGCAACTCGGACAACATAAACCTAATACTGTAAAGGTAAGCAATTTCAGTCAACAAAATATCTAATAAGCATTATTAGATATTTACGTTTGTGTTACGCTATCACTCCGATATTTGTGAACCGGTTTCGACGATATTTTCTTAGTTGGAAAGGGGGCACCTCAGTAGTGGACCCATTCAAATTTTAAGAAAATATTCCATTTCTAAGGGTGATAAATTACGGGATGACTCAGGTTTTTCAAAAACTGATACATTGATGTAATTCCATACACATGTAGGTCGTTTTTTTTAGTTAAAAAGTGCTGTATAAAAAAATTAGGATTTAAAATGTCAATAACACATTTGTTCATTATTGTACTTTTCATTGCCAGTTTTAAATACTGTTCCTCTATGTAGTGGAACTTTAGTGAGCACAGAGGTATGCCGTTGTTTGTATTTGCTTAATATTTTTGCGGAGGTATATATAGAATTAATGACGTTCCAAGTTTAGTGCGTAAATGAAATGTAGAGCTCGAATTTTTTTTTCAATCTTTTTAAATGAGGTATATTTACAAACTTCTTGAAACAAATTGAACTTAAGCGTAATGAAAACCGTGCTGGGTAAACTGTTTAATTAATTTTCGAATGTAGTACACTGTATATAGGGTGGTACGAATTTAATAATAATTTTGGATATTATAGTTTCACTAAACACCTACAGGTAGTCATAAAACAAGTACAATAATACTCTTACTGTACTTATGAATACAGAGAACTTTTGAAAGTATATAAATTTTTCGTTCGAATACCCATACTAACATACATCAAAGTTGCGAAAATTTTATGGGAAAAACGAAAATTAGTTTCTTGAATGATTCATATTATGCCTCATAAATTTTGTACCACTTTGCTTTTCACCAGTTCTTCTAATTCAAAGCTAGCTTCATGTGTATTTGATATGAATAAACTCTAATATGAATGGCTGGTAGTCTGTCCACATTTCCGTTTTTTTGGTCGGGATCCCCATGGCATTAGAAATATAGCAAGTGTAGGACACACTTGCTATATTTCTAATCGGTTAAGCGGCACAGGTGCCAGATGAAATTCGATTCGTCTAAGTTGCCTAGTTTACTTATTTATAGGAGACAAACATGTGTCCATTTACAGTGTCAACTCAATACAATACAAAATAATACATCCAGAAATATACCATCAGAGCTTTCGAACGAGTACATAATGCAGAGTATTTTTTGTTATACAGTTATTGAAAGGACTACGGAGAACAAAACGAGGTCGTTCGGTGAATGTGCTTCATTACTCTGCTGCAATCGATGGGGAATTTATCAGGGAATTGTTAGGCCATTTTGAAAGGTGATTGAGCAATAACAGGTAGATGGATTCTTTTGTACTTAATTATTATGGATTATTTTTCAAATTTTTTTCGAAACAATGTATTTTTCATCGAAAATTTATATTATTCTTTTTATGACAGGTGGGATTCTATCAATGTGATATGGTATTCAATAATTTTATTAATAGAGGTTTGGAAATTTGTTTACGTTAATGATCTTTTTTAAAGTAACATGGACTTGCTCTTGAGCACTACGAAGGAACGAGCTCGCTCAAATATTTCCCATTCAGTCGCATCCTAAAGATACTCGGGTTGTATGTGCTTGGAAGTACAATCACAGGCAAGGAATTCCATTCTTAGGCTGTACGCATAATAAGAGATGACGAAAAGCACTTTGTGCGTCTGAAGGGAATATCGACCAAATAAGGATGATATCTATAGTAGATATATATAGATATCTTCTCAAATAGTAAAAAGCCAAATCGTCTGTAATAGGTAAGCGAATTACACTTAAAATCATTATATTGATTAAACTGTAGTGTTCATTCGTAAGGCAGATTCTCTTGAGAAGAATGAGCAAGAAACTCTTGGTTGCTCTTTGTAAATATACTTACGAATGCGTTTAGGGGAAGACAGCTCAAAGCGGTTACCTTAACTTTGAGCCAAATTAAAACTAGCAAGACAATAGATATTAGTTACGATCTTGACACTAATTGACGTAGTATTTTATATAACTTTGTAGCGTAAAAGCCAATCAATTTCATACAAATTTACACACAAGATCACAGTTAGCAAGTTAACTAAACCGTACCCAAAAACCGAGGACGTGCCTTAAGCGGCGATTAAGTTTTGGGCAAAGTGGACACGTAAAGTTCAGCGGAAAATAATAAATGTGGAAGGTGATTACATCAAATGCAAAGCGAAATGTGATTGAATCTTTTAATTTGGATACCTAGTTATCAACAAAAAAATCTACTTGTACAAAAACATATAACACAAGAACATATAAAACAAGATTTGCTCCTTTTTTGGATTTTTAGACGCATTATTTTCTTTGAATTGTTTTATAACACACGTCATTGCCGCCTCGTCTCACGATGTCTGTGTTGTCTTTCGTTTATAATTGTTCACCATCTCCAAGAAACAATTTTGCTATTTATACATTTCATATTCATATAGCGGCTAGGTAACTGCTTTACCCGAGCCGCTTTGCATTTTTGACCATTTTATTTTAAAACGAAATTTGAACCTACAAATGTAACTGTACCTTCAAACAAATATTGCAAACAGACTGCCAGATAGAAGTAGAGAGTCTTAGATCGAAAATACCTACAAGTGCTAAAAGTGTCACTACCACGGATTTGTGTCATCAAAGTGTGCCGAAGCTGTATAATAAATAACCATTAGAATAAAGTTTTGTTTCACTATGGTTTTAAACCTCCTAAACGACAAATTTTTATATAACCCAGAATCTTATTATAGAAGCGTATACAGTGAATTTGTGACTTTGTGAAGATGACTGTTAAAAACAGCTAGTTTATTTTTATTCCTCGTGTCAATGTTATGTCTGTCACTATTTTTCATAAAAAAATACTATTATTTTTAATAAATCACATTATCATAAACGTACTGTGATGCAAGTGTAAGAATATGAATCTCTTCAAACTTATCTCTCAAAGACACTCTGGGACCCAGACTGTAATTTGACCTAACCGCACGTTTCTGCGGGAGACGAAGGTGGGATGTAATTTATTAATTTTACCAAATCATAGGAAATGAAACTATTTTTCCTGATTTAAATAGCGTATATTTACTTTTTCAAACAAACTAACGTTTCGGGCCTTTTGCAAGTCCCATGGTCATGAGACCTGCAAAAAAACAATTATGCGCGATTTAAATCCGGAAAAATAGTTTCATTTCCTATGTGTAACAATCGCGAAAACCTAAGAACATGATATTTACCAAATCAAATAAGAATTTTCATCAAATTACATTAGTGTATTGATAAAAACGAATGTGTGATGGCAAAAACTTTTCAGAAGACTCAGTTACAATTGAACAATAAGAAAACAGAGGTATATGTCGCCGCTTCATTAGCTCCCGCGGCAGTTCACTCATTCCACCGAGGTGAAAATAAACAGCTGAAACACAAATCGTTGAAATACACTCTCGTTCATTTGCTAATTTGTTCTTGTTTTGTGGAACATGTTTCAAGTTAAATGTAATTTTAGTGAAACCCTTTAAATAATTATGTCCAATTCATTTTTATTACAAACTCTAAAAAGAATCAGTCAACTTTTGCACTGAGTCTGAATGTGTAATTTCTGTTATTTACTTCTTTTCTTTATGATACCAAGTGACGGAACGTCGTGCGAACAAGTCGTGCGCCTGATGGTAAACGACACGCCTTTTCACAACAAATGCAGTGCTACTCAGAGATTGAAATCATAAACATCTGAAGGGCACTAGCACTGAGTCTATTACCCTGAGACATAAGTTGTAATTTCACCAGCATCCTTGCCCTTCAAAACTGGGCCTTCATGATGCTCACATTACTTCTTAGTGGCAGAAATAGACAAAGCGGCTCTACTGCTCTGTGTTCCGAAATAATTGTTTTTGTCATCGTTGATCTTCTAGAAGAACTAGGAGATGGCGGATATCGTGTCTGAGTCCAATATTATTGGAGAAATCGAGTGCGCATTACTCGGTTGGCTCGGACAATTCGAAAGGATGCCAGCTCATAGGGCGCTGATAAGGTCTTACAGAAGACGTCACGGAGGAACGAAGTGGAGAAAGATCTCCGCGCCCTGCATGCAGAAATTGCAAAGTGATAACTTAAGACGCGCTGGCGCCAAGTCGTATCGGAGACTAAGACTTCGGGTCGCTGAACCAGCAGAGTAAGTAAGTGACCGCTTAGGCGATCATGTGCCTTTATCGTCGACATTTTCAGTTTTGAGAGGGTACATAATTGTTGTTCTACTGCTGAGCACGGATCAACAAGGATAAGTTACGAATGAGTTAAGGTCATAGACCAACACCCTGGTCTATTGTGAGTGGGGGACTTTACTCATATTCGAACATTTTTTTATAATACCAGGTGAAGGGCCGAACAAGTCGCGAAACGCCTATCCATAACAGTTACAGTGCCACTAAGAGCTTTAAATCGCAAAGATCTTAGCCCCTTAGCGCCTAAGAAATTACCATTGCGCCAGTCCCCTTGAGACAAGTTGACAAGTCCCATGTGCTTATGATTTCACCAGTACCCTTACCCTTCAAAACCGGAACACAGTAATGTTCACATTATTGCTCGGCGACAGATATAGCGACTTATCCGTAGAACAAAGACCTATGTTCCATTTTACCTCGCATTCTGATTTTGTTTCTTTCCATCGTCACTCTCTGCGCGACCGCGGTAGCGAACATATCATTATTTATCTTTTTGAATCGTTTACTAGCTATATTTATACAGTTTACATTTTAAAGATTATATTTGTGAAAACCGATTAAATAAACCGATTAAGTATCTATAAACTGGACCTTCAACGTTTGAATTGCTAGAATTACTAAATAAGATGTTGGAGGCTGTGAGGCTGCGGAGG